GATAAGTAATAACCGAAGAGGGTCGTGGAAAGTGACTGGGGGGATGAGGAGTTGTTTTGGGAGAAGGTACGAGGGATTGAGAGTGGGGGGCGGGCAGGCCTAGGCTGCTATATTCTCCCTCTTGTGTCTCATTTCCGACACTACCTGGATTTTAAGGCAGTAGCTAGAGACTGGGAGGAGCGTTAGCAGCCCTCTTTAAAGTCGGTCCCGAGGGCTGCGAGTGGCCCCGCGTCTTCAGGCGGCCATTTATAGCAGATGACAGTTCGTAAATATCTCAATCAAAGAGAGGGCATGCGGGCAAACGCTGTGGAGCGTCAAGCAATCGAGGATCGGCAGTCTGTTCTCTCCTTCAGGGTTTAGCCAATGAGATTCTGCGTACCCCCAATTGACACTCGAGGAGGGCAAGTGCCCATCTTCAATCAAGACCATTTTAATCAATTCACATAGATCAGAATTAAGGCCTTTAATGGAAATCTAGAGCCTGCAGAGAAGGAATAGGTGCAAAAAGACAGAGATGGCGGAGAAAGCGTCTCTCATTAGATGGAAATCTGGTTTTGACACATTGCACATAGAAGCCATGATGATTAGTCACCACCTACATTAAATTCCAACATCTATGACTCATTCACAAGTTAAAATTTGTGTTTCTCTTATATGTCTGTTCTGCCTCAAACTTAGCATTCTCATAATTAATTTAGCTTGACAAAGTGAAGTTACTGATCTTATTAATATTCTTCTTATTATTATACCTCCAACAGGGTTTCATATGTTTTCACCAGCATTTGTTTGTTCGTTCAGCAGTTAATGGTATATAATGTATGGATGTGAATGTAATTTTGTGGCTTGATAGATATGGTGCTAAGGAAAAAGTGCTCAAATTTTGGTGAAGATATGACTCACATTCTTGACCCGCAAGCTGAAAGAATTTCTAAGCGCATAAAGAGAACACTGTCATGATTCGTTTAACACTCATGATAACAAATGATAGCAACACGGCTGAGGTACTGCGCTCTTTGAGTGCCTTCCAGTTATTATTATCGCTGAAATTGCCGAAGCAACTCCTCCAACTGCTTTGGAGCTCCAAGCCTAGACATTGGAGGGTAGCATCAGGATATACCGAGGCACATTGCTTGGGTTTTTTGAGCAGATGGCTTACTTCTATTCTTTTTTTTATTCATTTCTTATCTCTATTTCCCAAAAATTTATAATAGGCAATGTTTTAAAACTGATCATCCCCGTACAGTTTCATAGCTAGAAGCATCAAACCTGCTATGTTGCTTCATGTTGGATCAGATTTATCAATTTCAATTTTTTTTTGATGATCCCCCTCTTCCATCCCTCCTTTTCCATCTCTTCTTTCTCAGCTCAATAGAATTCCATTCATTTTCAAAAGTGCTCATATTCATACAATCTGAGGGCGAAAGCCTCCAAACTTTCTGTACAGCTTCAGACTGCCCCAAAGAATGGAGGTTGATGTACCTGTAGCCCTGACCCTTCTTATTTTTTCATCACTTCATCCCAATTAAAATCCATTCATTTGCTGCAACTTTCCAGCAAGAGCCGGTCAAACTTGCTTCACACTCAAGGAAAAGATAGATGTTTATATCTCTGCCACGCCCACCATGTACACACAGGCATGAAAACAGAGCATTTTTTTCTTTTTTCTTTTCTTTCTGTATTAACTTTTAACTGTTTGTCATACAGAGTTGGGGATTGGGTTGTTGGACTCAGGAGGAAAAGATAACATGTTAAAACGTGCAGCCCCACCCCCTTTCCTGATTGGTCCAAATTTGATCATTCATAACTATTGAATCATTTGTCAAGGACAGTTGGGGGCTAGGGTGCTGGAATTAGGAATGGGTTTGTCATAAAGCATTGGTTGCTGGACATAAAAAAAGCTCACATGTTAATGTGAAGCCCTGCCCCCTTTCCTCATTGGTCCATATTTGATACTTCATAACTATTGAACCATTTACCATGGAGAATTAGGGATTCAATTGCTGGACTCAGGAAAGGATCAAATGTTTAATTGTCAAGCCCCACCCCCTTTCCTGAATGGCTGATATTGTCCCTTCATACCTATTGAACTGTTTGTCGGGGATTGGGTTGTTGAAACCTGGAAAGGATCACATATTGAATGGTGAAGCCCCTTCCTGATTGGTCTTTATTTGATCCATCATCACTAACGAACCATTTGTTGTAATGAATTGGGGGATGGCTTATTGAACTCAGAAAAGGCATACACTTTAATTGATGAAGCCCAACCCCTTGTGCTGATTGGCTTAGCTTTTACCCTTCATAACTATTTAACTGTTTGTTGTAGAGAGTTGGGGATTGGGTTGTTTGAAAGCAACACTGTAATAGTAACGGTTTGGCTTTGTCAAGCCAACTTAAAGCTGGTTCACAGACTTTACATTCTCATTCCTACTGAAAAGTTAAGAGTGAAATATAAAAATGGCACTGTGGCTGGAAATGGGGCATAGTGGAATGGAACGTGGAATGTAGTGGTACACAGACCACTGAACAAAAAACACAAAATGTGGGGCAGAGAACCTGGAACAAGGAACTGAGGCACTAAATACAGTAACGAATGTGAATCTTGGCAAAGCTGAGCTGACCCGAGTTGCTGAAGGATTAAGATTTGCACTGAGTCGGAGCTTGAGGGAAGATTGGGGTTGCAAAGAGAAAAGTCTCTGAAGCATGTCTGCACAATGGTCCATACAGAGTTCTCTTCTACTTTTTCTTCCACAACCAGAAGAAAAACAAATCTGTTTTTTTATTTTTTTATTCTCTGCGATGGCATTTCCTCATTCAGAAAGTTTACGAAGGACAGCAGTACAAAGACCAAACGAGACCAATACAGAGGTTTTGAGGCTGTGAACTGGAACGCACCTTGGAATGTTACTGAAATTGAATTCCATCTGAAAGCATTAAATCTTACTGAAAATAAAATCTATGTTAAATTGGCTATCATATTTTACTTAGTAAGTTAATCTCAGTCTAAAAAAAAAACTATGTGATTCCCTCACTTCCAACTTCACTCATAAACAAACCCTTTCTCATCCATCATCATGGGGAAAAGTTCAATGAAATGTTTATTCAAAATATACAAGTACTGCCTAACCTTCAGAACAAAGCTAATGGGCACAAAAGTGGTGGCACTTTATTTGAAAGATGGGTAATGGTAATCATTTATTAACACTGTTCCGATGGTTTTACCATGGAGGCCATAAAAAATCTGAGGCCCACAGTTCAAGCTTTGCTGGGAGTGGCTGCATTGCGATTTGCAGCCAGTAGAACCAATTAGCTCCGTGAACAGGCATAAATTAGACTATATTCAATGAAAATCAGACACATATTGAAAAAAATATTGGCACAATTTCCTCATATATGAATTATAAATTTTTTTATCATATGTGGCCTTTTTTCTTCATTTTTATTAATCAAAATTAGCATTTGATATACTCATTACAAGCACACACCTATTGAATTAATCGGCTGAGATCGCTAATTATGATCCATTCTATCCCTAGGATTTTGTTTTCCAACCACCAGTGTGCTGCGTACTCAGCTGTCCTTTACGTTAGCTTTACTGTCCTTTACGTCCTCCACCAGGCAATGTAAGAAGCACTGCTACTGAGCATGAGGGGATAGTGAAGAATTTCCAGAACTTTCCTGCAGCAACTAATTGACTCTTATTACCCGTGTGAGAAACACTATTTAATTTTTGAGTAAAATGCTGATTTACTTTCCCCAGGGTTCTAGCCATTGTTCTTGGAAAAACTGCCCTTGTTATCTTGAATTATGAAAAATATGCATTTTTACTGCATCGCCATTTCGCAATCGACTAACCTCATAATGTGATTATGCTCAAAGTATCATAGATCATTTGTGCCAACGTGAATTACTACACGGAGTTGTGCAGCCTCAGTTTGCAATCATCAATAATAACTTTTTTAAATATGAGAAAGAGAATCAATAATAACCTAGTTTCCCCTGTTTCTAATGACGGAAAAATGTGATTATAGTGGGCCTATCAACTTAAAAATAAAAGATTAATGTAATAAGAAGATATTGGACCGTAAAAAAAGCTCAGGACTGAATCAGGCCAAATCCCACATGCATATATAGTCAGGGATGATTTAACCTCATTGGCCCCTGGGCTTCACATCACATGGCCCTACCACCTTTACAACACATCAACACAACATTTAATAATTTGCTTTTAACACTGTTTGAACCCCAGTAACATAAAAAACCCTCTAGAACAACAGCAAAGGCTGTTGGATTATGGCACCATTGCTAATTCAGGCAACAAAGAGGACAGAAGCAAGATCCCCCCATAAAGGTAAGCAGTTTATTAACATATGTGTTCAAATCTAAATACGTTTCAAATAATTTTTGCTCAGCATTTAGTGCTTTAGCTCTGAGCTAGATGAAAATTGAATTGTCCTTGTAATGGTGGCAAGTGTTACGACAATTGCAATGTGGTTGTTTATGACTAAATATAAGTCTGACATAAAAATGGATGACTTCAATACTCAATATTAATATTCTCGACAATGTTTATAATATTGATTACAGATTCATTCCCATGCGTGCTACTCTGTAGAACTTGGCTGGATTGTTAAAATATCGACCCAGGAGCTCATAACTTCCTTGAAAATGTAGTCAACTAAAAAGTGGATTGGTCATCCATGACACATCGGGCATTGAAAATGCCTTTGGTCACTGACGAGTAAATAATAATAAGATAAGATACACTTTATTGAGCCCCGTGGGGTAATTTGTCCTCTGCATTTAACCCATCCTATTGTTAGGTGGAGTGGGTGGCCACAGAGCAGCACCCGGGGACCAACTCCAGTTCTAAAGCCAGTTCCTTGGTCAGGGGTACTAGTATGAATGTTCCTATGATGCATGTTTTTTTGGGTGGGGGAAACCGGAGCACCTGGAGGAAACCCACGCGAACACGGGAAGAACATGCAAACTCCGCACAGAAAGGCCCCAGGCCGGGTTCGAACAGGCAATGTTCTTGCTGTGAGGCAACAGTGCTAACCACTGCACCACCGTGCTGCCCAACTGTGTGGCCAATTAGGGGCCCCTCATCATTTGGGCCTCTGGGCTTCAGCTCAGGGAAGCCCATGCTTGAAATAATCCCTGTGCAAGCACAGTATTTGACCAAAGGCAAATGAAGGGTGCCAACGGTGGTTTAATCCCCAAGATTAATAAACATAGATTCAACTGATATTCCCTTATTACATTGACTCCTCAGTGCAAAGATATTCACACTTCTGGGGTCCAGTCCCCGCGGAGTCAGATACTGGGGTCAGGGGCCTTACCCAAGGGCCAAATAGCAGCCCTGATCTTTGTGTGGGCATGGAACAGTCCTTTTCAGCCCCAGTCAAATTTGAAGTTGACCAGGATGTGTACCACAATCAGCAAAAACTCATATGTTTGGATTCATGAGACCTTCGCCAAGCTCGTAGATGCTGTAGGGATAAGACTTGAGGGATAGACTGAGTTTTGAGTGACAGCTGGTCCCAGGGCTCATAAACAGGACCTCTGATCTTTAATTGAATAACGGGTGATGGGGGTGGAGATTGAACTTGAGTGGAGCTTCTAAGCCAATATTACGGCAGTGGGTCCATATCTGAGTATTAATTTCAAATGTGGTTTTAAACTCCATTTTTCATGCCTCACAACTCTTCATTTCACAAAATTGAGACTTTTATGGTTCTGTACTATGGCTCACCAAGTCTGAGACAAAGACTGAGGAAAATACTCCAAAAAAAAAAAAACAGTATCTTTTTTCACTCCATTACTCTTAATGCCAATGATAATACAGCCAACTGGATGGTAATTACTGTGGTAGACTGGAAGGCTACTCTGAATCACACATGAACTGTTCTGAAAGGCAATTATTCCTACAGATCTGCTCAGTGAGGCTTTTTACCAACGCAATATCACAATTTCTACGCCTTTCAAGAGGCAATTTGTAATGGACTTGCTCCACGCTTTGAATAAAAGGTGACAGGTTAAAAGCCTCCATTCAGAGGGTCCAGCCCGTTATTATGAAAGGACTTCCTGCTTCTCTCCCTAATAAGTCTCCATAGGTCCATGCTATTTGTCTTGGAGGAGATATGCTTGGAGATCACTGTGATGAGGGGAGAAATGTTAAAGTGAGCCTTATATATTTACTGTACTCTATCCAGACAGGCTTATATGTAGGGCACATCCCTGAAAATTTGTGATTTTTGATGCACTGTGTATCTACTGAAGCAATTGCAGACAACAGCGCCCTCTCTGAATTTGGGTTTCCCCCAATAGCTATGACCACTGCCTTGATCACAGTGAACACAACACCAACCTGACTGACATTTATCAGTACTAAAACTCAGAAACTTTCCCTGAAGTAGGTTCAAAGGCAGAAAAAAGGCCTTTTTTTGCAAATGGTAGGATGATGTCACATAAGTATACATTCTGAATCTGCTGATTACAGTGCTTCACTGAAGATAAATCACAATTATATTGACAGAAATATCCAAACACAGGAAGCCATGTTTTTTTATGGCCACAGCATTACATCAAATATACTGAAAAAAATATAAACGCAACAGTGCAGTCCTTTCAATATTACGCATAATTATTTCTGAGGTTGGCTTAGTTGGGTTTATTTATGTGACCAAGGTTGTGTGCCACTGGTCTGTGTGCATTTCAGTCACCTTCTCCATATCATTGTCAAGTTCATGCCCTTCGTCAAAACTGGCCTATCAGACAGGTGGGGCCTGATCCAGAGCAATTGAAATCAGGTACAGTCAGCCCAGGCACATCCTGTACTCTGGTCAATAAAAGGCCACCTCAAAAGTCCCAGTTCTGCCATTGTTCAAAATGCCATAAATGACTCAAGCCATCAGGGAGCATGCCATTGGCATGCTCAATGCAGGAATGTTTCTCAGGGATGTTGAAAGGGCTCTAAATGTCCATGTTTCAACGATAAGTCGCATAAAACACCTTTTTGAGGAATGAGGAGAGACAGCATACTGCCCACATGCATCACGACCATGTGTGACAACCCCCACCCAAGTCCGCCATATCTGGACTCTCCATCTCTGTGATCGTTTGAGACCAGTAACTCCCACTGCAGATGAGACAGCTGGTCCCCACCATCACCCCATTTTTGCCGAAACCGTGAAAAATAATCTCCAGGAAGTCCATATCTTTACGTCTTTTGCCCTTTGTGGATTGGACCTCTCCTCAGCTCGATGAAAAAATTGGTTCGACTGAGTGAATAGACACGTTTGATGGCCAATGGCACAATGGAGGACTGCTTTCTTGACAGACAATTCACATTTCCAACTTCACAGAGCGGATGGTCGGGGGATCGTTATGCTGACATCATGGTGGTGTGCACGGTGGCACATAGTGGTGGAGTGCTGGTTTGGGTGGGAATATTCCAAGGACACTTCACCCAACTGCAGTTCATGAACAGCAACTTGAATGCAGTGTGATTTCACGATGAGATGCTGCTGCCTATCGTCCTACCATTCATCCATCAAAACAATAACCATCCAGCATGACCATGCCAGACCCAAGTCACCGTGAATGCACAGAATTCCTTGAGCCTGAAAACATTTGTGTGCTTGAATGGCTGGCTTATTCCTTGGATTTGTCCCCCTTCCAGCATCTTTGGGATGTCCACAAGCAACGAGTTCATCATTGGTTCCCATTTTGGCCAATAGCCGCTAACTCCAAGACTGCTCTTGAAGAGAAGTGGGAACATGTCCCCAAGTCACCATTGACCATTTGTTACAGTCCACACAGCAGAGATGTGTAGCAATGCAGCAGGCCAAAGATGGACATACCCAATATTGATTTGTGAAATTTGGACAATAGACCCCATCCCCTTTATCATCACGCCATTGCGAGATTCTTGTTTGTCTTTTTAAATCATTGATCAAAATATATTGCAATATGGTCATACAATCTGTCAACACTCAATGAAAGTATAATGAGCTCCTGAACATGGTCCTATTTCTCACAATAAGAAGTGTTGCGTTTATATTTTTGTTCAGTGTAGAAAATATCTAGATCCTCCCCATCATTTAATACACATTTCCCTGAGATTCTTAAGGGCATATTTGGGATCATTGGAAAACTTGGGAAAACTTTCACAAGAATTTAAATTAGGACCTCATTTCCACAGGTTTGAATACAACAGTTGCATGAAGGTTTTATGGGGAAAACATTCACTTTCAAGGCACTTAAACAGTATTTTAAACATACTGGCCATTATTCAAAGCACGCGTCACCATATGGCTGCCCCAACAGATGTGAGCAGAGCATAAGGATTAATATGCAAAATTAATTGTTAAGAAATATTAAGCTTTTGAGCTTTTGAGTCGTCCAAACTTTGGAGACATGGCCAAAGGTTAACATTAGTTAACACTTGTCTAAGTGGGAATGGTCACTGCAAGTGAATATAAAGTTATGTTGAATGATTCTCTTTAACAAATGATGACATATTTCTGTGCTAGTGGGAGTATTCTCTTCCAGAATGAGAATACCCCCACCCACAAGGCAAGAGGGGTCTCTATGTTTTGTTCAATGTGAAAAATGATCCAATAGATCACCACTGGGCTCTGATGGAATTCGAGATTTGCAGCATTGCAGCAGATTTGCAGCTGACAATAATATCATGTCAAAATGGACCATAATCTCTGAGGTTTCTATTATCTTGTTGAATCCACACAATGAATAAATCAGGCTTTTCTGCAGGCAAAGGAAGGGACCTGCCCAGTATTAGAAAGGTGTACCTAATAAAGTGGCCACTGAGTGCGTGTGTTTGTATAGGTTTCTTTTGCAATTATTAGTCATTTTTTAATTGCTTTGGGCAAATTTGATCTGAGATGAGAATCAAATTTGGAGCATTAACGCATATTTGGACAGATGATCACATAAAACCGCCTTCCTCGGGGAGCTGTGCCATTCTGCGGTAATGAGTGAAGGTAATGGAAGAATTCACACTGACAGATGCATCCATTTAAAATACTAATAACCACTGTTAAAAAGGCAAAGAGTAAATTACACTTAACTTTCCCCGTTTAAGAGCTGGTTTATTGGGAGTTCATTTGGGACCTGTCATTCTTTGAATTCCCAGGGAATTTGGGAAGCTAACAATCGCTTAATTGTTCCTCAGAACAGCCATATTGTCAAAGCTTAGGCTGTTAGCTTTACTTGAAGACAATAACTGTATCGCACATCCTCAAGTTCATTATCTCCAACAAGAACCCTGCTTCAAATTACTAGCTGAATATGGGACCGCTACTTTTAGACGTCATAAATGAGCCAATGAGCATGCAAATAAACCCTCTCCCACAGAGTGAAGCCTTTAGTAACTGTCTGATTCACAAGTCTGCTAGTTAACCACAGGTTGCAGTCGGAACTTGGTATCGCTCTCCATATTTCCGTGTCTTTACAGTAGACCTATGAGATCACACCAGTTTAAAAAAAGAACTTGGCTTTGTGCTATTTATGGAAATGATCAATAACAAACTCACACTGACGTGTGTGAGAGAGAACACTTCGTCCTCTTACAAGCTATACAATTAGGCTACATATCATCCATCCATCCATCATTATTCCTGGACAGGGTCATAAAGGGGGGCAGGTACCTGTTCCAGCATGAAACGAACGAGACGCAGTAACACACCCTGGACAGTCACACACTCATACCTATGAGTAATTTACAAGTGTCCAGTTTGCCTGACTAGCAGGTCCTCAGACTGTCGGAGGAAACATGAATACCTGGAGGAAACATGCAAACTCCACACAGAAAGGCCCGAGGTTCCATTCGGCAGTAATCTCAGGACAGCAACCTCATGGAGCCAAAGCCTAATTAATACTTTGTAGCCATTTCTCAAGGCAAGATCAAAGTGGGAACTTGGTTAAACTCTTTACATCTTTTCAACACGTGGAAGACTGTTCACTTGCATTCTGCCCTATAGTAGCTTTTCCTGCCTAGACTGTATAAATTTCATAATAAAAGCCAATCCACATTTGACTCAATGTGAGAACT